TCCTTGACATAAATGTAACTAGATTCTTGAGAGAGCAGTTGAGGAAATCCAAAAATTAAAAAAAAAACAGAAAGTAGATGGAACTAACTGATTTGTTGTAGAGTCCTAAGTATCTAAGTATAATTTGTTGCCAATATAATCTGTAAACTGATGAATTTCATTATAGAACTGATGTATCAATCAGGATCAACATTTGTATATCACAAGTTAATATAACAGTAATTATCTGTATATTTATGGGGTCTAAAACCTTGTGACTTTAGATTTAATCTTTTAATGAAAACATTCTTGTTATTTCTACATTTTTTTGGTTGACTAGGCATGTGATTGTATATTTTTGAGTTAGGTCAATTTCTTAAATCCAGTGAGCTGTTGTCTGGTGCACTTAAGAATATTAGAGTGTGATTTACTGTTCAAGGCTGCAAGGCTGCCTTTCAGCTGCAGAAACTGTATTGAACAAGTATTCATGAATGTTGCTCTTTAGCATAGGTAGTGGGTCACAAACAATTTTAATTAAATGTACTAAAATTCAATAGTTACAAGATACCTTTTGAAAATTTATTTGATGAATTGTTTTACTTTCTTAATGGCATATAAAATAACAGTATTATAGTAAGATTTTGTTGATTTTTTTTTTCTTTTTGGTGGTCGTGGGGACTTGAATTCTGGGCTTGGGCACTCTCCAGCTCAAGACTAGCGCTGTACCACTTGAGCCACAGCGCCACTTCTTGTTTTCTAGTGGTTTATTGGAGATAAGAGTCCTCCTGCCTGGGCTGGCTTTGAACTGCCATCCTTAGATCTCAGCCTCCTGAGTAGCTAGGATTACAAGCATGAACCGCTGGCGCCTGGCCGATTCTGTTGAATTTTAATATCTGTACTTTATGTTTTAGCGTTCTGTTTTTATAGATCAATTCATATGATTACTTTGATTATCTTTGACTAATACATTCTAGATACTAAAAATTTCAAAATAGTTTTATATATTTTACAGTCAAGAAAGTAGATTTAGCTTTAAAATTTATCAAATTTTAATTTAAAATTTTAAATCAGCTTTTAATCTCTAGCCAGTTGTTTCAAAAAATTATTTTAATAGCTGAAATAATTTAACTAAAAATAGTATAATGTCTTGTGTAATTTCATAATAGATATAACAAGATTAAACATGTTGCCAGCTACTTTCAATGAATGCAAACATTTCCCAGTAACTGAAGTCAGATACATATTCAATAGAAAAAAAACTTTAGGGGATTTTTTTTTTTTTTGTGAAAATACCATATAGAGGGGTTACAATTACATGGGCAAGATAATGAGTACATTTCTTATCAAGCATTGTTGCCTCCTCTTTTGTTTCCCCTTCCCATCCCTTCCCATCACCCCCTCCCCACCAAAGTTGTAAAGTTTGTTTTTCGACATAGGGGTATTTTATATCTAATGAATTCATTGAAGTTGGTGGATTTTTTTTTTTTTTGGCTAGTCCTGGGGCTTGAACTCAGGGACTTGGCACTATCCCTGAGCTTCTTTTTGTCAAGGCTAGCACTCTACCACTTAAGCCACAGCGTCACCTCCAGCTTTTTCTGTGTATGTAGTACTAAGGAATCAAACCTGCCACCAAGCCACATTCCCAACTCTAATAGAAGGTTTTAAGGATTAAAACCTTGATTAGATAATTGTAGTCACTACAGAAAATTGGAATGATCTCTGCCTTGTCAGATTTAGGTACTTTTTTTTTTTT